CTTCTTGTTACTACTAGTAAGGCACTTGTTAGTGTCATCGCCTTCTGTTTTGGAGCAATTCACATGTACCAAAACCCAGGATCTGGCTCGGACTGGTGCGGTCGAGGAGTCCTGACAGAAAGACACACACGCATACGTGTGCTAAAACCGTCTGCGTTGGAGGCTGGAAGTTCGAAGAGAAGCAATCTAAAGTGAAGGCCAAAACAGCAGAAGTGTCAGTAGCATGTTCGGATGCTTGGAAAAACACCTTTCTTTGTTTGCCTTATAAAGAGCGGGGGGGGTTGTCAAGGACAGAACAGCACACAACTGAGTAGTAAAAGTCGAAGCAACGTGTAGTTCTGTAGAACAATAGAGTCGAAGTCAAATCAGCACGAACCCTGATTGTAGCGAAAGTAGCATTCTCATTTGTAGTAAGGCGTGGCTAAGACAAAGACGGCACACAGCATGGGTTAGTACAAGAGGTAGAGGAGTGAACAGGGAGGCCCAAACAGCACCAAACAGCATATGTCTGTCGTCATGCTGGTTCTAGTCCAATGTCCCTTGATAGTTCTTGAGAATCAGGCTAATCGATCCAGAGTGGGATTCTTCTTTACTGTGAATTCCCCCTTTGGGGGAATTCACCAGCGGAAATGATTCACGACAATTGAAGGGCAGCCTAGCCATATAGTTCTTTCTGTCTAGACAAAAAGTGCGTCATGGGTGAGAAACACTCACCTGTTCATTGGAACAAACAGAGTACAACGTTCCTGTTTGAAGTACGGCTCGGAGATCAAGGCAGCAGTCAACCCTCGAACTGATCGGCGGGTTGGTACGGGGTTGTCTTACCGTGTCTTTCTTTCACCAAAGAGGTTCCTATTGCTATTGATTTGCCACAATTGAGAAGGCTGCTGATCCTCTTGTGTTTCTCAAGGAAGCGCCTTTTGCTTGACGCTGAAGGAGTCCAAGAGGAAAGTGGACACGAAAAAACTTCCTTCTGATTCCGTTTGATCTCCGTTAAACTTATTGCCCGGACTTTCCCAACATGCCAGCATGTTTAGTGGCGCTACTAGGGGCTCCTGGCATCGCTACTAGGAGCAAGAACGCTACTAGGGGCTCCTGGCCGTACTACTAGGAGCAAGTAGCTACTAGTAACAAGAGGACGCTACTAGGGGCTTCTGAAGTTCTTTTCCATATTTGTTCTTCCATCTTCTTCCCATATTTGCCTGAGAAGGTATTCTACTGATGGATCCCACATTCGAGGCATAAGTCGTTGCTTTAAGAAACAAGCGTTCTTCCCTTTTACTTTCTTGTTTTCATGTTCAAGCATTTTATTCTATTCTTGTGAAATATATATGTTCTACTTTATGTTCTTACTTTCGTTCTTTTCTTTCTTTCCTGTTTTTACTTTTTCGGCACAACTTCTTCCCGACCTTGGAGAAGCCATCACGCCATCTGCCCAAGCATTCACCACAGGTCCTTGACAGCGGACAACGGCCAACCCTTCCAAGCGAACAGAGTCAACCTTTGCTTTGTTTCCTTCTAGGGATTTCCTCCAACCTACTAGCGATGCCCTCCAACCTACCCTTTGAGAAATGCGAGGTCGAACCCAGTCTCTCTCAAATCTGCAGCACTTCTGACAGACTAAGCTACCATTAAGCTACGATCAAAGAGGTGTTACGGACTCGCCAATGATAAGACCTCCAAAGCCAACCCAAATTCACCCGCGAGTCATACCCGTTCCTCGATGAGTCATAGCTCCTGATGGGCGAGCCTGCCTGAGTTGTCGGGACCGTTTCGGTACAGCCGCGATGGGCGAAACACCCGGAAGTGCGGTGATGCCGGCGATCCCATGTGGTGTCCCGGTTCTCGGTTCGATGTGGCGCTTGGATTTGATCATGGAATGTCTTTTCTGCTCCGCCGCTCCCTTTTCTTCTTCTCTTTTCCTTGTCAGACCTTTGGAATCCTTTGGACCTTTCTTCCTTAAAAGAGCTACTAGGGGCAAAGACGCTACTAGGGGCTCCTGGCCTTACTACTAGGAGCAAGGACGCTAATAGGAGCAAAGGGCATCGTTACTGCTTTATATAGGAAGTATTGGGTCCTTATCCTTTTGGACCTGCTTCAGATTCACATGTCGTGACGATTTCTGGTGGGTGGGCCTGGTATGCTTTCGTCGGCTCCTTTCTAGCGAAGCGGCAGTGTTCGAGGTGGACAAAGAACGGCAGAAAACACGAAAACACCAATCTGGTCTAAAGAAAAAATTGACAACAGATTGGTCTCAAGGTCGACGACCTCTCATAAATCGACCCGTAGTGCTTCTTGTTACTAGCAGCGATGGCCTCCAACCTACTTACGATGGCCTCCACCCTAGTAGCGTCCGAGCGCTACTCGTAAATTGACACGTAGTGATTTCAAGTTTTGGAAGCTCACAGGCTGCTTTGGTCCTCTTTGAACATCCGATGAAAACACACTCAAACAACAATTGGACGAGAGCTCTTGAAGCACTCGTTGACAATGTCTACTGCAGCACCCTTTGCTGGAAACAAGAATGCTTATGACAGGAGGTCTTTGACCTCGCTACAAACAAAAACCCTTTTCTACCCCGAAAACTTGGATGTCACGAAGCACCTGTTAGACGCAAGTCAAGAAAGCAATTTAGCTGTAGACGGCACCGCTTTCTAGCCTAGTGATCCTAGTGGCAGTGGCACTAGTAATAGCAATGGCCTCCAACCTAGTCGCAAGTGGCCTCCAACCTGCAGAAAACGCTCTGGCGACATGTCGAGACCGGATTTCACCAACGAAGCCGACCTGGTCCTGTCAAGACTGGTGGATCGCGGCGGAGAAGTCTCGACACCTGGAGCAAAGCCGTCTCGCCAGTCTTCTCATCTCCATTTCGTCGCTGAAAAAAAGGTGCGGCGAATTCTGAAACAAACGGATCTCACAATCTTACTACTCTACTACCCAGTTTTTTTTGCTCCGTTTGAATTTAGCTGTTCTTAAAATAACGTCCTGATTTTAGAGACAGATTCTTCTTGGGTGTTGAGAAGTTGATTCATCAAAACCCAAGAAGTTGCTTCCATCTGGAAAACTGCTTCAAAATTCGGACGTCCACGGGAAACCGCATTGTTCGGTGCTTTGCAACATGCTTCGCACGCGTTATCAACGGACGTTGTCTTTACGGGCCTGAAGTGGGAGCTTGGACGTCAGCCATGACGGACGTGAAACGAAGTGAAACGAGGATCTGTCGAAAAGTCTGTCGAAGATCTGATGATCTGCTCTGTTTCTTTCAGGATCAAGGCTTTCTTTCGGCTAGGAGGTTGGAGGCCATCGCTACTAGGATGGAGGCCATTGCTAGTACTTTCATTGGCAAGGCATTCTTTCGGCGCATCATTTTTTCAGCTGAAATTGGGCTCTTTGGCTTTGCGATGTGCAAAAGTGTTGGGATATGATGTGTTAGGTTGCTGGCAACAAAAGAGCCATGAATGCTTTTTCTAAGAGGAGAAGGTTTATAAAGCACAGCAAAGCTAGTTGGTACAACTCACATTCTTCGAAGAGTTCTCTTGTTTGAGATGCCTTGCTAGAGTTCTGGTGTGGATGTTCGAGCTTGAGACAGAGTGCAAATACAAATACGCCATGGCCATGCCGTTGTACATGATGTTTCCACCAGAACCTACGCCCCACCGAACGTGCAATTGGACAAATGGATGTTGAGAGCAGCTTTGCGTGGAACCTTCAGGTGAACCATGCCCAACTCCAGTACAAACGATTCGAATGTATCAAAACTGCACAGACTTGAATAACCCCTTCAAAAAGCTTATCCTTTGTGATGGCAACATGTGGGTATGACAATTGATACGGCACGGTTCCTTCTGATGGACCAAGGCTAAGGAGCACGTTTTCCGACGCGTCCTACCGCGTGACTTCGCAAGCGCCGGCCCCCCTTGTCGTCCACGTAGACCTGGAACCCCACCTGAAGGATAGGTCTAAAGGCCGAAGCAGTCCAACAAAGCAAGGAAAAAGCAACAAGAACAAGGGAAAGGCTACGAACGGAGCAAGAACGCTACGTTCGGGGCTCCTGGCCTTACTACTAGTAACAAGGTTCGCTACTAGTAACAAGTGCATCGCTACTAGTAGAAAAGAACAAAAGAACATGGAAGAACCAGAACTTATCTCGAATTTTCCTTGCTTGGATGTCTCAGATTTTGGATGCGATTTCCTCACATTGGCTAGTGAGAGCGTGCTTTCTTTCTTCGACCTTTGACCATAACCTCTTTCCAACCGAGCCTCAAAAACGACCCCTTTCTTGCAAGAACGGCTCCAAAAAGAAACGGTGAGTGTTCAAAGGCCTTTCGGGGAAGTACAGCTTCTTCAGAACCCTTTGCACGGTAGAAAAGGGTCCGTTTTCAAGACCCTTTTAGATAATGAACACCTGAAAAGACCAACTTTAGACCAAAATTGTTTTCCTTTCTTCATTCATTTTTAGAATTGTTTTTAGGAGCAAGGACCTTGACAAGAGATATTGAAGGCTAAGAATATCATGCTGGCCGCGCCTGCGTGCCCTGGATGGGGTTCAGGTCTGGTGACACATCTGCCTTGCGGAAGTACAGAAGGCTGTCCTGCTGTAAGTCGAAACCGGCAACATGTGCAGAAAGCTCCAACAAATGAAAGTTGTCCTGCTCTAGCGTGCTCAACAAACGGCTTGACAAATCACAACTTGACATATCAGATTTGTTACTAGTAGCTTCGTGTTACTAGTAGCGATGGCCTCCAACCTACTTGCGATGGCCTCCACCTAATAGCATCCGGATGCTACTAGTAGCATCAGAAACATATAGACCATCGGTGTCCTCAGCAATGCGCTTGCCTCGCCGTCGAGCAGCTTCAGCTTGCTCGGCTAATCGAGCCATCACCTCAGTGGCATGTGGAGTTGAACTTTGAGCGTAATGGACATCAAAAAGAACGAGAATCATCAGAAATCATCGGAAATCTACCGAGCAAAGAAGGGCCAGTTGAGTCGAAGACCATTAAGAGTCGCAAAGTGTTAGACAAATCGTTTTTTCAATGCTGCTCTTTGCATTTGATCTTCGTGTCAGAAAGAGCGAAGGAACCCTTGCATTTTCTCTCGGCAGGACATGAACAACAGGCACCTTCTCGGGCAAAATGGTGGATGGATCTGGCCGAATGAAGCCATATCCTTGCCTATCGAGGTTATCCAGAAGAAGATTAAGCTATAGATTTGCATGACATTCTCATCATGTCATCCTTCAACGCTTGATCTTCAGATCGTTCGTCGGCCAGTTTTATGTGGTCGTGTCGTCTAATTCCGTTTGATCCCAATCCCCGTCGTCTGTGCCTCCAATTCCAAAATGCCACTGCACCTCTGTAGGTCCCAATGCCCATGGATATTCGATTCTCCAAAGCATCCTGCAGAAAGCGATCACCGACACACCCTAGAAGGCGATGGCCTCCAACCTAGCAAAGCATCCTGCAGAAAAGCTTAAAAAGGAACTGCTCTATGCATGGTCTACAGCTCTATGGAAGCTAAATCAAGATTCCTTAGTCAGCTGCTTTATGCTTTCAAAACTGACCGATAGGGGACATAGGGGACATTCCGATCGTGGATCCGTGGTTTCGCGGACGGATGACGGGGGCGTGGTAATCGGGTCGTCGTCGGATCGTCGAAGTCTGGAGTCGTCGTGACGATGTCGTTCTGATCCTCGTCTGCTTCTATCGTTCTATCGTCTAGACGTCTATAGGCCTATAGGTTATTTCATAGGCTTATTCTTCTATAGGCCTATAGGTTTTGAGCTTCTTCTATAGGCTTTTTTTATTCGTGATGACTCCCCTTGTGCCATGGCAAGTCACTCTGAACATACATGAAAGGACCGAAAGAAAATCCAGTGCCATGCAGTGTGCTGTGCAGTGCGCAACGGCCTGTGTGAGAGGATGTCCACCTTGCAAAGTCATGTTGTAGACCTTGTACTGACCCCTCTCATTCCTGCAAAGAAAGAGATCCTTGCTCTTCCCTTGCTTTGCAGGCAGAACCGATGAAAAACAGGCAGTTCTGCAACCAAAGCTTGAAACCGACATCCTGGAAAACCTAAAGTAAAACAGAAGCAACATGCCTTTGTTGCAAAAGACAGCACGTCCGGATCCTGTAGATGCCGAACTCCACAGCGATGTTTCGCATGTGCACAGGTTGTTGCCCTGCTGCATTGACCTGGACACGGCTCGAACCGCGTGTGCGTTTAAGACCAGGAGACTCCTGGTCTTCTGACACGGTTCACACGGCTCGAACGGTCCATGAAGCTACTGGAAGCCAGTAGAAACAAGTGCATCGCTTCTAGTAACAAGTGCCTTACTAGTAGTAACAAGAAGCTAGTAGTAACAAGAAGCTTCTTGTTACTCACACTGCTTTTGATGCTCCCCAAAAGCCTTCTTCGCAGAAAAGGAACAAACACCGAAAACCACTGCACGACAGTTCTAGTCGTCGGAGGGGCCGCAAACATCTTCAAAGTATGACAACAAAGAACCTTACGAACAGGATGCATGGGAGGATTCACAACTTGAAGATTTTTTTTGCGATTGAAAGCAACCTGTTGGCTTTTGTGCTGTGCTGTCACAGGGATCGGCCTGTTTGGGAGCGCAAAAGCTTGCTCTGCGATGTTTTGTTTGGTTTTGGGATGAGGGCGCTGTGCCACAGCTGCATCTGGTTGACGCTACGTTTCCATGTCTTCCCTTGTGTCAGGCTTGGGTGGCACATAAGCGCTCAAGTGATGGCGCCTTCAGCTTCGGATTGCAGGGCCCAAAGCATGGCCTCCAACCTACTAGCGATGGCCACCAACCAAAGAGCGATGGCCTCCAACCTAGAAGCAATGGTCTCCAACCTACTAGCGATGGCCTCCAACCTAATAGCCATGGCGTTCCTAGCACTATGTAATCCAAGGCATGTTTGTCAAACATTTGGAACGTGTCCTTGTTTGCGTACGGCTTTGGGGTGGCTCTGGGCTCATGATTTGTGCACATTCATCAACAAAAATATCCCCCCCAGCTTTGTGTCCGGCATGTAGTGTGTGCTTGTGGTATGGTGACAGGCTAAACCAAGGCTGAATCTGGGAAACCTTCTGCACTATGCTTAACTGGGGAAGAATGCCAAACCAAGGCAGGCGGAGGGCTTTGCACTCACAGCATCACGCAGAAGCATCATATGAAGGCCTGCTGACACATCCCTGTAAAATGTTGAGCTGGCACCAAGCTACTGGACCTTTAATGTTCGCGAGCATGCAAAATGGCAGGGCAGGCTACGTGAAAAAGTGCTTGCATATTGCTCGCCACTCCCCTGAAGGCCAAGACTAGATAATGTGCCGTACAGCCTTTGAGAGAACAAACTGGCCCTCCAGAACTTTCAAGGCTCGCAATGATGAACGAATGTTCACAGGTGGACTTGGTGAAAATTCCAAGGACCATTGTTCACTTCCATTCCATGTGTATACTTGGCATTTGTTTTGGTTCCTTGTTCCTAATTGCTTCTTGTTACTACTAGCGTGGCACTTGTTACTGATGTTTCTTCTGGTCGAAGGCGGATTCTCAAATGCCTCACCGTGTGGAGTCAGGCCTTTCGCCTCCCGAGACGAGAGAGCGAGCAGAAAACGAGTTCGGCGCTGGCAGAAGCTACGTTCGTGACACGTTCGTGGCTAAGTGCATTACTAGTAGCGTCCTTGTTCCTAGTAAGGCCAGGAGCTACGTTTGTAGCGTCCTTGTTCCTAGTAGCGATGCCCTTTGTTCCTAGTAGCTTCTTGTTACTACTAGCTTCTTGTTCCTAGTAAGGCACCTTGCTACTAGTAGCTTCTAGCTGGCTTCCAGGGATGGCGCAGGAGCAGGCTTGCGTGCCATCTGGAGGTTCCCTTTAACCAGATTCCTGAAATGCCATCCGTATGGGCCTGATCTTGTGGCAGATTGAAGACGCAAAGGCTACCCAGCTTCTTGGTCATTAGGACATTGCGCCAGATCCATCACACAGTTTTGGACGTACAAGATGAACTGAATCGGAACAATTTCCTTGTGGTTTTTGCTAAGTGTCACGGTGCATGTGGTCAATTTTCCTGAACCAGCGTGAAAGTTCAAAAGAACATGAATGAACACTTAAACTAACCACATCACAATATCCTTTTAGCCTCTTATGATCTTGTCTTTTAACTTCTCGCCGGCTGAAGACTCCATCTGAGAGCGACCTGATTGGACCTGTTAAGACAGGTCTGAGGGTCTGAAGAAAGGTGGAACATCCCTATAAAGGCCTAACAAGTCCTCTTGCTACTAGGAACAAGTGCATCGCTTCTAGTAACAAGTGCCTTACTAGTAGTAACAAGAAGCTACTAGGAACAAGTGCCACGCTACTAGGAACAGGTGCCTTACTAGTAGTAACAATGTTTGCTATTAGAAACAAGTGCCACGCTACTAGGAACAGGTGCCTTACTAGTAGTAACAATGTTTGCTATTAGAAACAAGTGCCACGCTACTAGGAACAGGTGCCCTACTAGTAGTAACAATGTTTGCTATTAGAAACAAGTGCCACGCTACTAGGAACAGGTGCCCTACTAGTAGTAACAAAAACTCAACAAGGCTCTACCAGTGTTACCTACAGCCTTGGGATTACTGGAACAAGACAGCCGTCGGTCTCGACGGTGAGACCCCATGCCTCTTCATGGTCCACTCGCAGTTCACCAGGGACGCTTGGATCCACATCATAGCCTGCAAAACCAAACCAAAGACTGGAAGGATCTGCAAACCACTTGGTCCGTCCAGCACTTAGATTTGCAGAGGTATGTAGGGTGCTTTTGGTACAGGACATGCAAATGATGCAAGTGTTGCTAAAAGCATCAAAAGCATCGCAAGCTTGTTGGAACAATAGTTTACGCATTCAAAGTTGTGTTGCGGTTAAGAGTGGCCTTGTTCAGCCTGTTGGGCAAGCTTGGACGGCACGTAGCAAATGTGGTGATCTTTGAGGGTTCTGAAATTGAAAAAACCTTGCTACTAGTAGCTTCTTGTTACTAGTAGTAAGGCCAGGAGCCCCTAGTAGCGTCCTTGCTCCTAGTAGCGATGCCCTTGTTCCTAGTAGCGATGCCCTTGCTACTAGTAGCTTCTTGTTACTAGTAGTAATGGTCTCCAACCTACTAACGAGCGATGGCCTCCAACCTACTAGCGATGGCTTCCACCTAGTAGCTTCTAGTTTGATGCACAATAGCTTTTCCCAGGATGAGATTGACGACTGCACAATGCACGTAATGCATTCCACATAAACCCTGCAGTGTGGGTGGCACCACGCTGCGAAGTGGGAGGAATATCACGCTTGTTGCAAGTAGTAGGAGAGCAAAGGGTAGTGAAGTCCTAGATACTGTATGTCAGTGAGCAGTGAACATGCAAAAAACTTTTTTGTTGATTTGCGTTGCCCCCTTTCTTGTGTGGAAACATGCCAATAGGAACCTACTCACGTACTCTTAAGCTCTTGCCTTGATCCATGATGACGTACCCAAAGCCGTGCCTTTCAAAGTTGTCACAACTTAGTAACTCAGAAACTGTCCAAAGAAGTTGCAAGTGCATCGCTACTAGCAACAAGTGCCTTGCTACTAGTAACAAGTGCATTGCTACTAGTAGCAAGAAGCTACTAGTAGCTAAGTGCTCGGAATTGTCGACAGAAAGGCTCTCTTGGCCTTGGCGAGTAGAACTTCAAGGTGCCAGTGTATCTCAAGTGCTGACCACCAACGAAGAGTTTCTCGTTGGCATCAAGCTCATCTTGCAGGGCAACATTCAAGCCACCCACCTGGACAGATTCACCAGCGGATTGCCAAGAAAACGGTCAAGTGAGTCAAGTGACACGATTCCCAGTGAAACCATTCCCAAGGAAGCTTCTAGTTACTAGTAGCGATAGCCTCCAATCTACTAGCGATGGCCTCCACCTAGCAGCGTCCGGAAGCAACTAGTAGCTTCTTAGACTTTCATTCTTGGCACGGCACAAGGGTCACATTCTTGGCGCGCAAAGTATTCAAACCTCTTTGCCAATCCTTCCAGGTCATCAAGCTAAACTCCACCTGGACGCTTCAGTTTACGCTTCAGTTCACGAGCTCGACCGACGCCTATTGTTGACTGCCGAATTGTTGCCTTTCCCTGAAAATACAACAATCTCCACTCCAATGATTGAGCAACTCGACATTTTTCCGCTCCAGGATGCATTGACATGTGAGATGGATAGAAAGGGGCTGTGGCAGGATCTTAGATAGCTGGAGCCAGGAGTGGTTTACTTAAAAACACCCCAAAACCAAACAAGTTCACCCAAGGCATCACTATTAGGTTGGAGGCCATCGCTAGTAGGTTGGAGGCCATTGCTATTAGGGTTGAATATGCTTCCCTCTCTCCCGTTGAGCAAGAGGCTCTGTTTCGCTCTACAAACGGCTCTACCCATCTCGGGATGCCGCCTCCAAGCCCTTGACCAGAAATGGAAAGCGATCATCGCTCGAGATCTGCTTCCAATGAACAAAGACCTTCCAATGAACAGCAGCGATATGATTTGTCTTATTTCTCTTCTTCGCCGAAGCAGAATGCCTTTGGACACTGATTTTGAGTGCCAGTATTTCGAAGCAAGATCCCAAAGAGGATCTTTGACGGTTTTATGACTTCTGTGCGACTGCGACTGGGTGCCTTCTCGGTGGGGATGTCGGCCTCGGTCGCCTCGATAAACCTGGACTCGGTCGGCAGGTTTTCGGTCTGAAGCGGATAGTCCAGCAACATGTCCAAATGAGCTGCTCTGAACATCTGCAGTAACTCCTGTATGGTTCAGCCGAACGGAGCAAGGGGGGGTTGGAACGAAGTGGGTCAACCTCAAGGAGCTTAGCTCCTCTTTCGGAAGCGACTTTGATCTGTAACCTGGGTCGTGAAGGATTTGTTTAGAGAAAGGTTGGAGGCCATCGCTATTAGGTTGGAGGCCATCGCTAGGATATTAGGAGGAGCTAGAATGTCCAACTCATTTCTGGTTGGGCTGGGCACTAATATGGTTTTCAGCCTTCAGATCCTTCCAAGACGGGAGGCCCATAACCCCGGTACTTGTGGTAGAAGATCACCGTGCCAAAGTACCGCTCGTTCACATCTACCTCCCGTGGCAAGAGGTCGATCGGAAGTGCGAACAGAGTGCGATCGAACGGAGCCCGAAATCAAGAAAGGGAGGCAGCGAATAGTAGCGTCCGTGTTCCTAGTAGCGTCCGATCGCTCCTAGTTGTAAGGCCAGGAGCCCCGAACGTAGCGTCCTCGTTCCTAGCAGCGATGCCAGGAGCCCCGTTCGTAGCTTCCTTTGATTTGCTTTTTGAAGTGGCCAAAGCTGTGCCCAGACCTGGTAATTGGCGGGCACGCTCTGTGGAGGTCTTCTTGCTCGCCAAGCATTTCCTCCTCCAGCGCTGTTGTAGCCCAGAAGTGGGAAGTTTGCAGATCGATAGGGCAAATTCTGCTTCAGCCATGGCTTCTGAACGTGCCAAACTACCATCTTTGGGCGAAAGCGCCACTCGTCATCTCTGCAAAGCCAGCATAGCTGAAAGCAAACAGGGCGAAGCACTGCAGAGTGGGTCACTAATCGAAGGCATGATCCTGATTCGATTCATTCGAAGGGAAGCCCCTTCCAAGATTGAGTGAAGGACAACTCCGGAAAACAATTGCATTTCAATTGTGCTTCAAACCAAAAACCATTAAAAATTAAAACCATCTAAAACATCAACAAGACTCCAACCAAACAGCGAACAAACCATCCGACCTCCTTTCTGTGTTGTGCAGCTCGGTTGGCTCCCGTGTTGGAAGCCACACCGTTTTCGGTGGTCACGTGGATGGTCACTCCGCGTGTCTCAGCTGCGCGTCACTCTGCGACCCACCAAGTGCATGGGATCGGCGCCTTCCGGAACATCCTGAATCTCGAACAAAAGCACTACTCCTTTCTTGTTACTACTAGTAAGGCACCTGTTCCTAGTAGCGTGGCACTTGTTTCTAATAGCAAACATTGTTACTACTAGTAAGGCACTTGTTACTAGAAGCGATGCACTTGCTCCTAGTAGCTTCTTGTTCCTAGTAGCGAGGCCAGGAGCCCCTAGTAGCGTCCTTTGCTCCTAGTAGCATCCTTTGAACTGTCAATATCCATATCCATCACCATCAAGCGAGCGTGTGACTTTTGTTAAAAAATGCAACACCTTATGAGGCAAAAGAGAAATCCGGAAAGCGGCCCTTGCACACCTTCATGCCTCGTTCCGTCCCTCAAGAGCTATTTAAGGTCCCTTCACGTAGTGCTGAGGCCGTAGCTCCGAGCACCAAATCACACACCTCAAACCACTCGACTCCACTCGACTGAAGGTCCGCTCGACTCCACTCAGATGCGCACGGCATGCAAGAGTCGTCCACGTTCCATCTGTTCCATGCTTTCAAAACGCAAGAACTTCAAGCCCCAACCTAGGCGTTCAGTCCCAACGTGAAGAAATTGATGCCAGTGATGCGAATTTAAACACCTGAACATGGGCAGTCTTGGACTTCATGGCCTTTGACCTTTCGACTCGGGAGTGCTTCTTCACAACAAAATGACTGGAGGGCCTGGGAATTGCAATACATCCTCAGCTTGTCAAATGCATTTTATGCTTCGAGAACTAGAAGCCTCAAGCCTCAGCTAAGAAGTAGAAACCCAAACGCTTCAACTACCCCTCCTGGTTCCAATGGGAATCCAATGCGAACATCTGTGGTCCATCTGAGCGTTGTGCGAGAAGCCACCTCTCGCAACGGATCTAGGCGTCTTCTTTCCTGCAAGGCTGCAGCGGCATCTCCTTTATTCAGGTAGCTAAGGATGCCAAGGGCATTACTAGTAACAAGATCCTACTAGGAACAAAGGGCATCGTTACTAGTAACAAGAAGCTACTAGTAGCTCCTGGCATCGCTACTAGGAGCAAGCTTGCACGGGTGTTTTACTTCTGTGGTCAAGAAGCCTGAGATGCTGGTAGGTTGGAGGCCATTACTACTAGTAGCTAGAAGCTAGTAGGTTGGAGGCCGTCGCTATAGGACGCTAATGAGTTGGAGGCCATGCTGGTCTTGCGCTTTTAAATTCCCCTTCAATCCAGACGGAGCAGGTTCCTCACCAGAGGCAGCACTGAGTGCAGGAAGAGACCCCTGTACCACCAGCAAGCCACATGGCCTCACCAACTGGAGATTGGTCAACAAACCCCTCTTGAAGAAAGTGTTCTATGATGGGCAGCAGGGGGGTAGTGACGGGTAGAAAAATAGAACACATTCTTGCTTGCTTGTTTGAAGAAAACACTCTTGTTTCGAGTAGGGGGGAGTATCTGAGTTTTTGAATCCATTGACGAGTAAAGTGGTAAATCTTGAAGAAAAGCATCTTGCCCAAAGAAACTCTGTCAGCCCTTCCCCATCACCTGTGCATAGTGGGGTAGATGGACCAAACTTTCAAGCCCTCCAACCCCACACCAGTACTGTTCCCCAAGCTACTTGCGACGGCCTCCACCCTACTAGCGATGGCCTCCACCCTATTAGCGATGGCCTCCAAACTTTCAAGCCCTCAATCAATTTGTGTGCTTTTGGGGTTGAAGTGTTTCATCCACTCAAACCCTGGCCTCTGATTGATGTGCATGCTGAGTGGTGCAACGTGCAAACCTCCAGAGTCTAAAGCTATTCGTTGGTTTCGTGGGTTTCGTTCTGAAAACCATTAGCTTCTTGTTCCTAGTAGCTTCTTTGCTCCTAGTAGCGATGCCAGTGAGCCCCTAGTAGCGTCCTTGCTCCTAGTTGCTTCGCTTTCTCCCAGCTTTTCAACTTGCAATTCAGGTGCGGAGGTGCTCCCAGAGCAGCAAGGCGGTTGCACAGATCCTGAGAACGTCGCTACGGCCAGACATGCGAACGGGATGGATCTTCGGTTTGAGGCCAGCTACGAACGGAGCAAGGAGCTACGAACGTAGCTTCTTGTTACTACAGGTGAACCGATTCCCAAAGAAGCTTCTAGCTCCTAGTAGCTTCTTGTTACTAGTAAGGCCAGGAGCTACTCATAGCGTCCGATCGCTCCTTTCGATGCCGCGATGCCCGTCTTGCTCCGTTCGTTTTCGTCCTCACCATACCACACTTGCACACACGTTCGGCAGTATCTTGAGCGGGAGGCTGTGTGGCCATGAGGATCCAAGATGTTCACCACCAAGGCGACGCAAGCGGCTGATCCACCTGAGCGGCAGCGACAGCAGACTGGTCCAAAGATGAAAAACACACCATAGAGAGACCACCAGCATCGAAACCAAATAGCCCAGCCATCGATTCCCGCAATCAAAGACATGAGGCATTTGAAGCCATTTCGCCGGATCACAACCGGACCTGTCACAATGGTTGACCAAATGGCATCAAGGGCGTTGCCCTCTGGCACTTTGAATTCTGTAAAATCTTCGTCTGCAGCCTGCTCGACTAGCTGGAAGCGTGAGCAAATTTCCGCTACAGGCAGGATTCTCCCCAGATTCAGGTTCATCTTACCTCCTTGTGGCCTCAAACAATAAAAACGCTTGACGGACCATGGAGCGACGATTTCAGGCAGCCTTCGCCTTTCGTCATCAATCTTTGTCCTATTGCTTTCAATAGCCATAGTGAGCAAGAGCCAATCTGTGTTCATGTCCTTTTTGATCGCCTTGCTGCGCACGCTGGCGCTCATCCTGCAATCCCAAGTAGCGCCACACAATCTGCGAACCACAGTAGAGCCGCTGACCTTACACTTGGACGCTAGTCATATGGCTAGGTGCACCACCTTAGCATGAAGGCATGCACATGTCACCAGGACGGCATAGGGACGTGACAGTATGACCATTTGCAGGTGTTTTTTCGTCTTCACGCAGAGTCAATGGCAAGCGCCGCACTGTGAAGGCACGCTTGGAGGCCATCGCTATAGCAAATGACCCCGACACGAACGCCAGCATGTTGGTCCACAGAACGCGCTGTGCCCTAATCCGCCAAAGGCACTTGCCATGCAGCCATTGACATACTGCTGAACAGCCATGAGACGACAGCTAGAACAAAAGCAAACTCTTGTTCAGATGGTTGAAGGATGTTTGAGGTGTGGTGCCACAGCCTTATAAATGCACATGCCTCTTCAATATTCTTCAATAGCCTCAGGGATGCAGAACCGATGTCAAGGAACCTGAAAACACTACAAGCCACCACTGCCACCACTTTAGAAGCCCACCTAGAAACCGTTGGCACTGTCCTTGGCACTAGGTTACTTCCAGCTTGTGTAAGGCATCATGGCACCTCTACTGGCACCTCTATACACTAAACACCACACTAAACCACTCGCAAAACCAAAATCAAAGGCTGTCCACTACTCAGTCCACTACCTTTCCCCCTGTCAGCTGGGTGGGGCAGCAAGACTTAGCAAGCAGTTCACACACCACATGGACCATTCCGCTTTCGGAAAGCTGTTGCAATCATGACCGGATGACTCTCTCGTCGCCTGCACTGTCCGGCTCCGAACACCACTGGGAGACTTTCACAACACGACCGGAACATCCACGATCAGGGCGCTCTCGGACTTGACTTCTTGAGATCCAAGAGTTGGTCCAAGACACTAGGAGCAAGAGGACGCTACGAACGGAACAAAGGGCATCGCGGCATCGAACGGAGCGATCGGACGCTACTAGGGGCTCCTGGCCTGACTACTAGGAACAAGAATGCTACTAGGAACAAAGGGCATCGATACTAGGAGCAAGGACACTACGTACTAGGGGCTCCTGGCCTGACTACTAGGAGCATTCTTGCTACTAGTAACAAGTCTATTGAAGGAAATGAACGGATGAGAAAGAGAACAAAACGTATAATATTCCCCCCGAACTCTAGAAACCAAATCAATACTGCGAAGCGCAAGAGGCCAAGACCTAAGATCCATGAAGATGCTCTTCTAAACTGTCCGTTCCCTTCTTTGCTTGTAGAACTTGCTTTTCTTTTGTTTATTCTTTTTACATTTTTGTGGTGTGACTTTCTGTATTTCTCTTGATTGTTTCCTTTGTTTTTACTCCTTGAACCCTTGTCTCTAATTGTTCTTTAGGCCTTCAGGCCTGACTCTTTTTCTTTCTCTTATTGCCTTGCTCCTTGTCCCTCTCTTCCTAAATGGGATCAAGAGGAGCAAAACTTACAAAAATACAATTTGATATGGTCTTCTTGCACACTGAGACTGTGGCCAAAATGTGGCAGAAGCGACACATATCTGTCCTGAGAAACATGCACCAAGAAATAGCCCACACTTTCGGCACCAGTCTTTCACTATTATAGACTGATGAGATCACCTCGAGGCTGTTAGCTCTCCGATCTCATTGGCTCTCTTTTGCCCCTTATGATCTTGGGTAAAATAATCGAAATAGCGATGGCCTCCACCGTAATGAATTTTGGATGCTGTTCCAATTCCAAGCACGCTTTTTGTGGTTGGATCTGGAATGCCAAGCACCGTTGCAGTGCACGTCAGCCCGACAAAGCTTCGTCGTTTCGGTCGTCTCACGTCGTTTCCCTCTGAGCTGGGTGCGTCTGCTGGCATCTCTATGAAATCAACCACCGTAGTGAAGGTGTTGTACAAGGAGGTCTCAGTGTCACTGACAACCGAAACACCACTGCAAGAAGCTACTAGGGGCTCCTGGCCGTACTACTAGGAGCAAGAAGCTACTACCAAACCTACCAAAGGCTGGCAACAAGCACAACAAGAATGTCTTCGTTGATAGCAACAGTTCTAATCCCAAGATGAAGTACTCGATAAACGCCTGAATGTGCTGTCCCGAAATGGAATGAATATTTCGGCATGCCACTACATGTCCCTCTGACCCTAGCTGTAAGTGCTTGTCATTGTTGAAACCTTTTGGTCGTCTCATCCCCACGCGTTTGGCCCCGGCCGTGCTCTTCGAGACAGCGATCGAAACACCACTTCGCTTCGGCGAAAAGGCGTCGCAGAGACCCCGGCGATCTTTCGCATCTGCACCCCATCAGCGATTTCCTGCGAACGGAGCGAGAAAGGACGCGTTCGGGGCTCGTCAGCGATGTCCAAACTCACGATAGACAGGAAGACTCACAAGAACACCAAATACGAAGACAAAGTCAACCATGTGCCTAGCATTGTGTCTAGCATTTTCCTCCACTTCTTTCTGTTCTTACAAAGCTCAAGAACCAAACACAGCTCCGGTGTCTGGACGAGCGGCGGGGCGCAAGGCATGTCACTCGTCTCTTTGCGCTTTGCTTGGCAGTTTTTGCTGGAAGATAAAGAGGAAAGGATGTTTTCCATCGGTAAACACATGTAAAAACTAATTAGAATTGGTCACACAAGTCATGAAAAGGAAAAGAACAAGGAACAAGAAGTGGAACAAGAAGTGAAAAAGGAAACGAAACCACGGATGCTCCGTGATGCTCCGTTCGTCTTCGCCGTGTCTTTCACGCCTCCTCTTGCGAGCGTTCGGTCTCGCTCCCAGCGGCTCTGACGAATGCAGACTTTCCCGAGCCACGGCTGCCAATCACCAGGACCTCACGGCCAAGTGACACGTCATCGGAAGTAGGCCATGGCTGTAACTAAGGGCATGGCTACTAGTAAGAAGAACGCTACTAGTAGCTAGGGCATTGCTACTAGCAAGGACGCTCTTGGGTTGGAGGCCATAGTAGGTTGGAGGCACTTTGATTTTTCAGAACGCCTCTTTCAGATGGTCTCGGTCGACAAATCTGAAAGCAAGAGTCAGCGGAGCTTGATTCGTTTTGAAAGTTCCTCACAAGGTAGTAGAATGGGTGTGCAATCCAACTGCATGGCATGATGAGAGAAGTGTGAAGAGTCATCAGCAGGGCAACAAAAGCAATGTTGACACAACGTACCCCTCAAGTGGTTCTCAAGACACTGCAATCGCCTGAAAGGAGATAGAGGCAAACTGCTCTTCGCGAGCCATGCGACTTGGCTGTAAAGAAATGCGGGATTGGTTCAAGTTGGTTCCCATAGAACATGTTGTACAACGCAAAGTTCCACTCGTGTGTGACTACCATGACTTTATTGCTGTAATCTCAACTGCCGTCATATCCTGCATCACTGGGGCTTGCCTTCAGGAAGGAGGTTCAATCACAAAAATGCGCATCAGCGTGCTATTTTCTATCTCAGATGAGGCACTGAGCACTGAGCCTGATTTGCTGCGTTCAATGGTTGGTTTGACACAACTCAGTCATCTGATCGCTTCGTAGAAGTTCACGGTGCCAAGAAGCACTGCACACGAAACGCGATTTTTTTCTCCCAAAGAGCATCACCAACTTTAGTGTTCTCAAACCACGGCCAACACATGTGCCAAGTGCTAGCTTGACACCTAGTAGCGTCCTTGCTCCTTAGTAGCGATGCCCTTTGTTACTAGTAGCGTCCTTGCTCCTAGTAGCCATGCCAGGAGCCCCTAGTAGCGTCCTTGCTCCTTAGTATTATAAAAAACTTTCATTGGAAAGAGCCTGTTTTCTAAATTTAACAAAAAGTCAAAAACAAGTCAAGCCTGCAAGCACACGAAGGACTGGGTGGAATCTGAAGGGGGAGTTTGTCAGCGGGTTAAACCCGATAGCAGCTTCGATAGCAGCAACTTTTCCCTAAACACCGTGAAACCTTCAGTTTCACTGCTGGAACCCCTAAAGCGAACGACAGCTGTTATGACAGCCATCCCGCCATCTAAGACATGGTATTGGATCAATCCGTTGTGGTGACTACTGCAAAGCCAAGCTTTACATTGAGAGCACAGCCCTGATAGACGATGCCATCCACAGCTCCTGCGCTTTCTTGTATTTCTCATTTTTGGTCAGGAGCGGAGCGTTCTCATCGCGGTTCATTCGATCATTCATTTTCTCGATGGTGTTCTGAACACAGACTTGGTCTTGCGCAAATCATTTGTTGGAAGGAGGATGGGCAGGCCGTCCTCGTTGAGGGGCTCCTGCAACTCCTCCAGAGTAACCTCAAGTTTTGGGATTTATCACACAATTCATTTGTGATCATTTTACATAGTGGGAGCTGTTGGGGGTATCCCATATGACAAAATTGCCGTACAATGATTGGCTTTCTCCTTGGGCACAGTGGGAGTCTCTGCTGCGGGGGTCTTCGCTCAGCAAGCTTGGGCCCCTTCATGGACTTCTTCTCTGGTTGGGCCTCCTTCTCAACCTTCTCAATCTTTGCCTCCTTGCGCTTCTTCTCGGCGGGCTTGGGGACCTTGGGGACCTTGCGCCGGTTGCCACCCAGGTTGATGCCCTCCGCATTCGTCCTCTTGTTTGCCTTCCTCGTTGATTGCGTGCTGCGGTTTTCCTTCCCGCTCTTGCCATGTTTGCCATCAGCTGCCTTGCTCTTCCCACCCTCAGGATTCCTTGGCTCCTTTGAAAATCAACTTTGCATGCCAACGTTCACACGCCATGCGGTGTTTCAATGTCTTTACCTCTTTGGACTGTTTTTCCTTGGGGGTCACTGGAGCCTTTGAATCCTCATGGATGGGTTCAACAAGTTCGTTGTTGGTCCTTTCGCCATGGATGGATTCATCCACGCGAATCTTGGGAGCAATGGGAATCTCCAAACTGCTAGGTGAAGAAAGCAAAAACATGACATATCCTCCAAAGGGTCGCCTTGGGCGTCTCCAAAACGCCATTCTCCCTCACTGAGCCTGTGGCAGCTGATGGTGTAGGTTTTGAACGCGTCCACAAGTGGGTGGCTATGTGCTTCTTCAAGCAAAGCCTGAAGGCCTCCCCCCCAGTGCGGCTCAGCACTTCCCAAACGGAATCACGGGTGGTAAGACTCTTGGCCTTGCAAAACAAAACCACAGCGGCAAGGTTCGGAAGCAAACCTCATCAGCCGTGTTCTCGGGGCACTCTGGTGAATCTTGGTTCTCTTTGTGAATTGTTCCCAGGGCAACCCCTGGCAACACCAACGTCTCTTGTGAGTCATAGTTTCAGAATGAAAGCATTTTTTAATAGGTGTATGCGGGGAGCGGCAAACAGCTAAGTGCAGTACAGACTCTGTTGCTTGAGCACCACCTCCCGAGCTAGCAACTGTAGCATCGCTCATCCGTTTGAGACGGCGAAGTTGTCGTGCGCGGGTCCTCCACTAGGATTGGCTGTGAAACACCCTTTTTGCCAACGATCATGAAAACATATGAAAACATTTAAAGTAACAGATGACAACAGATGACAGGACTGACACCTGAGTCACCAGAGTGAAACTTTTTTTGGATACTGCTTTTTTTTGCCCAACATAGAGGCCCTCTCCGCGTCAGAATCATTGGGAGGTTGAACGGGTGAGCTGCATCCACGTCACATGGTTTTTCCAACTAACGCACACGCTTGGGATGTCTGGGGCCTCGATGGTGTGGAACCCGTATGCCGGTGGAGTAGGGGCCACGAAGTCAACCTCATCCTCACTATCCTGAAGGGCAATGAACGACATTGCCAGCTCAAGACAACCTAAGGGCAGTCAATGACCTGGAGATTTGCAAAGGCTGCAAACGTGTTTAAATGGGGAACGTGACCATTTGCCACATCGCAAACATATCCTGTTTTGGGAAGCGGCATGTCCCTCGCGCGTGGGGTAGTTTTGGAATCATACACTCGTGGAATCAAACTCAGCACGGTATTTGCCTTGCGTTGGGTTGCGGTGTGATGGGACGTTCCCCCACGCCCCGGGATTTCACACAGGCCCAGCTACCATTCAGTCAGCGTTTACATGGAAACTACATGTGGGTTTACAATCTTACCTTTAGCAATGGAGACGTTGTCAGCAAATACTAAATACGGTACTTCCGGGCGCTGCGTAAGTCTCAAAGGATTCTCTTGACCTCGCCTTCAGACAAGCAAAGTGTTTGTTTCAATAAGAGCATGGTTTCGCTGCTCCGAGCACCCATTCGTAGCCGCCAGACCTACCGTACCAGGGTTGCTCCACTGATTGATTGTGCATTCAGTTGAATCCCTGAAGTAGCCAAAATAGAACCTGGCAACTCAAGGACAAAGCGTTTGGCTGGTAACCAAAAGTCACGCGATGCGCCTTGACCTTTCAGTACCCAATGGCCTGCTTCAACATGGGGCTCTCAGAGATGGTTTTGGCATCGAAGTAGGATCCACAGTTCTCTGACTTGAAGCTGAACTGCTGAAGGTTTCCAAACCAGGGTGTCCTTGGTGGTCACATCAAACCCTTATTAAAAAACCTTTTGGTTTTTTTTGGGACGGCGCAGAGCAATAACATTATTGCAATGTACTTTTGCAGCAAGCCACTGGTCTTGGTGGGTGGGCTCCTGAAACACTTCCGCAGGCCTTTTGGAGTGGTGACCTGCAAGATCACAATCGACGAGGCCGCCCTGCTCAATCTGCTGAATGATCTTGCGCAGGGTTGTCAATGTACCACAATTTGCTCTGAGTCCTGCAGAACACGCACTGTTGTTAACAAAACCTTTTAGCCCTGTGCGGAAATAAACGGAGTATACAACATGTTAGTGTTGTGCGTTGTTGGGAAGGAGGCTCCAAACATGTCCATGTTGTATATTGCTCAGGTTTCTTCCAACACCAGCCTCAAGCACAAACTTCTGCGTATCATTTTCGATCTGAAAGATGTAGGCCTTGTGCCTGTTCTCCTCAGGTGTCCAGTGCGCAGCAAGTATGCTGCGCGAGGGTGAAATGTGAGTTTTATAGATGCATATCTATTTTTTGATTTGAAATGAGTCACTTGACGATGAACTTTCTACACTAAACCCAGAGCCCCGGCCTCCAAAAAGGCTTCAGCCAGTTGCCTGCCCCATAAAAAACAAAATAGGATCTTGCAGAATTCATCCCGATTCCTTCATTTGGATTCTTCAGCGGTGGTTTTTGAGGCGCGCAAAGGCTGGAGCTCCAAATTGATATCGCGCCTGCGTACGCCTGCAGCTGGAGACCTTGGAGGCCAGAACGTTTGCCAATGGAAAGGGTCCTACTTCATTCACAAACGTACGATTCTGATTCTCTATCCGGCATTGGTTTGCCAATTTACCGATGTTTGATGTCCTCTTGAAGGGCGGCCCTTGGATGTGCCACCCATGTATTTTCATGTGAAACCTGCAGAATCAAACACCTGTTGGTGGCAATATTCCTCTTGATGGCCAGGGGCGGGGCCATGATGCAAGAAATGCGGGCCCCAAATCGGTGTTCAATTAGCACCCCGAGTCGGGTGCTACTTGAACACCGATTTGGCCCCCCCCCCTCCCCAACCCAAGAGGAAAATTGCAACCTGTTGGAACCGATTCTGAACAATGTCCGTGGTGTCTTGAAATGCAGGGAACATGGCTAGAAGTTAGTCTAATTGATAATTGATAGTCTCATATGTTAATAGTGACGCATCAAACACCACCTTGCGTCAACCATGCGGTGCGAAGCTTGCTGCAAGCAAGGGCGGCCCCCATTCCAGCCCTTTTGGACGCCTTGACAGACAAGCGGGCTTAGGTGGACCGACAAGAAGGGAAAAATGCTCTTGAAACTGAGGGCCCATTGGAACCATCAGTGTGACCTTGCACACGATTGCGCTCCCATCCGTTGCAGCTCGGATGGAGCCTCTTCTTGGGATTTGTGTTAGAACCAGAAATTCGTGACTAGTGGTCAACGCAGTCTGCGTGAATTCTGCGCACGGCCCAAAAAGACACATGGCATGCGCAGTAGACGGGATGCTTCGTTGATTGGACTCTGCCAGGGAGAGCCCACCAACTGCAGATTCAAATCCAGAACGTATTGTCCACCGGCAACCAGCAGCTGGCCCACAAGCGATGCGCAAGACCACCAACAAACATAAGATCACAGAGCATCACACATGGACTATTTTTTGGGGCCGGGTTTTCTGTGGGGGTTAATGCGCACACGTGTTTTTTTCCACGCATGATCAGAAATCGCTTCACTCACGTCTGTTCCCCCCCGAACATCACCCTTAGGG